TTGCCTACCGGACAAATGTTGGCACCCGAAGCAAAGAGATTATTGCTTTATGGGTGAAGCCATGAACTTCATAAAGGAGTGTGCTTAAAATATGCTCTACTTGATCAACTTATCCAAAAAAAAGGGAAAAAAGACATGATCAATTTTTCTCATTAGCCCTTTGTAAGACAAGGTATCCTAACATAGATCATACTTTTCTCCACCCTATTTGGTTGTGTTTTGAATCTTTTGATACCAGGAAATGTGTATTTATGAGCATTGGCGACTGCTGAAAATTTTCATCTTTATCTACGGGATGGACTATTTTTTTTTTTTTCTGGACATGGATTTACGAGTGGACTGTTTTCTTAGGTGCTTTTCTTTTTAGCCAATTTTTTTTGTAAGGCTTTTGTTTGTAGCAATATATCCCCATATTGGGATATCAAAGAAAGAGTTCTGTTATCGCTCGGAAATGGAAATGAATATACAGGCCCCTTCTCCCAAAGTGTAAAACTGGGATATATCTATATTCGATAGAGATGAAGATACTCTGTCATTTGACTTGAAGAAGAGTGAGCTGTTATTTGTAGCATGTGACCTTTTTTAAAGTCCCCTATTTGAAGAGTCATCTGATTTGTGAGAGTACCTTGGGAAAATATGCTTTTGTGCTGGCTGTATTAATCGGTTCTTTTCCCTACATGTCAAGCTTTGCAGCAAAGGCCGAAATCCGTAATCTCATGCATTCCTTTGTGTTGCCATCAGGTCATGCCTAGGAGTGTGTCTACCCAAGGCCTTTGTATTAGATTAGCTGATATGAATAAGCGTCGCGATTATTCAATGGATAAGCATGATAATCAAGTTGTGTTTATTATCAGAAATTTCATTCTCTTTTTATATAACGAGAAGAATACTACATTGATTTACAGATGCTTAGTGTAAGCATGAGGTTAAAACTAAGAACAAAAATTCTTTTACTTTAGTGTTTTGTATTCAGCAGTAAAGACGTTCTTTATCATTGAAATCTACTAGTATTGTAGAAGTCATAGTATCAAAATTAATTCAACCACTTTTAAAAAAAATTAATTAATTAATTCTACCAGATAGACACTTTTTATCCCATAGTAGCACTTGTGTGCTGTCACGTCAATGCAAGTTGCTAAAGAAATAGAAGAGTCCGGGCAGTGAGTCCAAGATTGAAAACACTATCCTCCTCGCCCAATTTTAAGGTTTTTATATTACTTTCCAAATTCATTGATTCTCTCTCTGTCTCTCTCCCTTGTCAATATGTCTTATCTCTTTCTTTGTTGACGTTTCTCTTCCTTATCATCCTAAGTATAGCCTCCAGGGTGATTCAGCCCGCTTCTGCAACTGGAAACATTAAGTTGCTCCATCTCATTCCTACTTTACTATTCAAATATAGGAACTGTTGAAAATTTTCTTGCATTTAATCGATTAATAAGTGACTGAACAAATTAGTGTCAAAGTGTTAATGAAGAATTATTTGTTAAATACACAACCTGTTTATTGTTTTTCTAATGTTCTGCGTGCTCCAAGATGTACGGGAAATGTCGCGATGTTTTCAATCTTGGGAAAGAGATTTCTCTGCCTTCTGCGCTCATCTACTTTTTTCTCTTAGAATTGCTTATATCATAGATACACTTATCTCGTAGCATCAGGTCATGTTTTGGTTGCAAATTTAGGAAGCACCTGCTTATATTTGTGACTCTTCTTATCCGTGCTCTTTGCAGTGTATTGCTGTACAAGAGTAGCAGATTTTCAGTGAGATGATATTTTTTCAAGGCTCTTGATAATTATGAAGGATGATTCTGACTTAGCCAAACAACAACATACCCAGTATATTCCCACAGTGGGGTCTGGGGAGGGTAATATGTACGCTGATCTTATCCCCTACCTTGTGGAGCTAGAGTGGTTGTTTCCGGTAGACCATCAGCTCAAGGAAAGCAATTCTAAGCAGGTTGAAAAGGAAAAACAATAGCGAAGAAGCCATGTTGAAAACAATGAAGACAAGAACATTAGCAACAACAAAAAACAATGCAATAAGAAAACTGAAACAAAGGGAAACAACATGTAGTAATAAAAATTGAAGGCTAAGATAGTAGGAGAATGATAATAATAATAATACATGAAAAACACGGAACATATATGGTAATCCCAAACTCGACTACCTACTAACCTTCTACCCTAATCCTCGACATCCACATCCTCCTGTCCAGGCCTCGGTAAGTTGGAGATGTGTCATATTCTGTCTAATCACTTCTCCCCAACTTTTCGGCCTACCTTTATCTCTCCTTAGACCCACAATAGCCAACCTCTCACACCTTCTCGTTGGGGCAAAAAAAGGAAAAGAAGGATGACTGACTTAAGCAAAAAAAAGAAAAGAAGGGTGATTCTGCTAACCGAGATGATTTCCTATGTCTTATTGAAATTGAATTGGATTTTGGTCAATGTTTTTTTGGGTGCTTATCGAATAATTCAACAATAGATCAAGGAAGTGATGAGCTAAAACATGCTGGATACTTGTTTAATGAATTTCAATTCTTGAAAGTTCTATTGAAATGAAAGAGTATGAAACTTTTTACAATGTCCTAAAAATTCTAGACGGAATGTTAGTGTTACTTTCTTTTGATTAAGAACATTTATGGGACCAACCATGTTCTCTTTAATTAATATTTCACATAATGATTTCTGAGAAGACTTCAAATGACAAGTGTGTAATGGAAGGCGAATTGGTCTGAGATTCATTTGTTCCTCTCTCCATATATGATGCGAGAATTGTACAGCTGAGCCCTGAAAGCTACATGGGAGCACATGGGCCATTCTAATGGCCAAGTTTGGGGTTTGGTGGATGTAAGGACCACCTCCCTAGAGCAAGTAGAAGTTCGGGAGCTAACTTGTATGCAATCATTGTTCACAAATTTCACTGAACTTTTTGAAAATATTCTTGATCTTGTCCGTTTACTCCTCTTTGTGGCATTGTTGCTTGCCATTTAACCAGTTATTTTGTTCTAAAATTTGAGCCTGCTATTCTTTTTCTTGCTTTTCTTTTGCTTTTTAATGTTTGTAACTTTACACCAGCAAAAAATGATTTGAGCATTCCCTTAATAAGCATGAGTTGCCTTTTGCAGGTTGATGCTGTTGTATACCTGGTAGATGCATATGACAAAGAGCGGTTTGCAGAATCAAAGAAAGAGTTAGACGCACTGCTATCTGATGAGGCCCTAGCTACTGTCCCCTTCCTCATTTTGGGAAACAAGATAGACATACCGTATGCTGCCTCGGAAGATGAGCTGCGTTATCACCTTGGTTTGACTGGTGTCACTACTGGCAAGGGAAAGGTGAGTGTTGCTGATTCTAGTGTTCGTCCCTTGGAGGTGTTTATGTGCAGTATTGTACGCAAAATGGGGTATGGTGATGGCTTTAAGTGGGTTTCTCAATATATAAAGTAGTTTACGCAACCAGAAGTTGAAACAGATTGTGTCCTCGTTTATGCTTTTCGTACAACTATTTTTTCCCGTCTGGAAAAGATGGAACCTGTTCATTTGTTCTCAAACTGTTGAGGTCTTTTAGTACTTATAATTTGTATGCGTTGAACATCTACTTAGTGTGATGAGAAGCTATTTATTGTTGCCCTGTAAAATTTACCTAAGGCTGGAACATTGTCAAAACTCCATATTATTATTCCATTTCTTAGTTACTCATGCTTATTCGCTACTGCTGTAGCAGTGATAATATTTTTTTATCTGTATTGAAGTGTAATGTTTTTTCCTGTTCAGAAATCAGAGTATTGCTCAAACTGTTGATTTCATTCGGTACATGCCTTTGGTCTACTTGATGTCAAAAGACTCGTACATGTAACTTGTTCAAGTGCTTAAATATCTAAGATTTGCTCTTTCGCTCGTAAACCCCAACTATTAATTCTCGTGTACATGTCCATTGCATACTACTTGATGCCTCAAACATTTGACTAAAATTTAGGCTTTTTTGAAAAGATCTACAACAATCGCTCAAGGGATTATGTGTGACTCAGCATACCTGTAAATTATCCCTTGACATTGACAGTAATATCTCACGCGGGGATGTGTAGTCATAGTTGCTGGCTCATCGTGCCACTGGGAATTTGAAGAATAGGCACCCGACCACGACATCTAATTTTCTGATGCTAGACTATAAGGACGGGGCAATTACAGCTAACCTTGCCCTCATTTGTATAGTTAAATCAAATTAACATAGCAAATCATATAATATATATATACACGTTTAACACAACACTCAAAGGTGTGACCTAACCATCAATGAAGTAGGTGAAAATTATGAGAGATCAAGGTTCGAATTCCAGCGATTGTTTCTCATCTACCTTGGCTTTGGTTAGCTTTAACACAGTAATGACCGAAACTTTGTAGTCGAGCTGGGATCTTTATATTCTCAATCGGGATTCTTTAGAGACATTCACCTTTGGATGGTTTTTCTTGAGTACGTTTCCAATAACTATGGCACAACTTTGATATGAATCAGTTGGAGATGCAGTTGATAAACAGTTGAACGGTTCCTCATTTCTTGACTTGCTGATTTCTCGTTAGGTAAGACTCTTTCTCTCTCTAGTCTAACTCCCTTTGAAATTTAATATTGCGTGTGTTAGATTGCATGCTCTAGGCTTCATTAGATCACAAAGTGAAGAAGAGCAGGTCAACGAGTTTAGCTTTAACCCAAACCATCATCAAGAAAACGATTTCAAAACAGATCTTTTATTACCCTTTTCTTGACATTCTCTGTGGAGTCATTACTACCAATTCCACCATTATGTCCCTCAAAGAAGTCACAAGATGGAGCGGTTTAACAAACTCCTTTCTTTACTTCACAGTTCAAACCTTCCATTCTTAAATACCAACTTTAATATCTATTATCAATGCCCATTAAAAACACACAGCTTTAATTTATTCATTTTTCCATCTCCATAAGTCATCTTGAGTTAGATTCTCAAACCATCACCAACAAACTCCAAAATGGGCAATTCCATTAATCCACAGGGCAAGTTATCAGATAGCACAAGCAAGGTTATTTTTACAGATGGGACGATTCAGAGTTATGACAAGTCTTTAACAGTGGCAGAGTTGATGCTGGAACATCCCCAGCAAATAGTGGTTGAATTCAAGCCGATCACGGATGGAAAAAAGCCTATTCCATTGCCTGCTGATATGAAACTGGAGAGGAACAAGGTTTATGTGATGCTTCCAAAAAAGAAAGGAAAGCCAGTTAGCTTTTCATCTGAAGAAGCACGACGAATTCTAATGAAAACTAGCTCTATGCTTAAATCCAAGTCTCTGTTAGCTTCTTATACCGGGTTTTTGCCAGTATTCGCTCGTATATGTCCAGCAGCAGCAGCAGTTTCCTCTGCATCATTGGGAAATGGTCGTGATTATGTTCTTAATTCGGACAAGAATCTTTGTCTGGTGAAAAGAGAAGAAGAGGAAGAAGGATCTAAACATGATTACTTCAGTGATATTCTTGAAGGAAGACCTGAATTCTTAAGCAGACAATTGTCAGGAAAAGGATGGAAACCCAGTTTAGATACCATTAAAGAGAGGAGCATTCAAGCAAAAATTCGTCATTGGTTGTTTTAAGGTGTTTGTCTTTGTCCAATCAAATGTTGCCATGTCTAGTTTTCGCTTCTTCATTCTCTACTTTCTCCCGTTGTTTCTTTGTGCTTTTTCTTTTGTCTTTCTAGTGTCTGTCTAGTCATGCATCTTTAGTCTTAATTAAGTTTAGTGCTTTTTCTGTGACTTTAAAGTCTTGTTAATGTGGTAAGTACTTTGTAGCTTTCAATGCATGGTGTGATTAAGTGTTGTAAATGCGTTCAGCTTTCAGGTAACGTATCTAAAGTTGGAATTATGGAGAAAAGTGAACTAATGAAGAATTAGATCTACAATTGGCGTGCTAGAAGTAATTTATATAATAGACTTTGTCAACCAAGAGTGACGTCATATACAACTTGGTTTTTGATTTACGTTTTGACTAGACTTTGGTGCATTTAGACGAACGAATTTCTTGGTAGACCAATTCTACCCAACTCCGTCTAGAGATCGGAAATTAAAAACTTCGCGAGTTCTGGCTAACAAAAGAATAACTTCAGGGAGTTGTCATTCAATTTATCAGAAAGATTTTATATAAATGTGTGTTTTCACTACTCTCTTCGTTCCGAAAAATATGTCACCTTTACTAAAAGTAGATATTTTTAAATAGTTGTCATTTTAGAAAAAAACAAGAAAGAGTTGATTCTTTCTTTCCAATTTTATCCTTACTAATAAAGTGGAGAAAGATTAATTTGATGAAAGCAAGAAGCAATAATTGAGATCAAACAAAAGATAAGGTTAATTTAGTCAAATTATTGTTAATTAATATTTTCTAAAAGCATGTGCAAAAATAAATATGACAAGCGAAAGGGAAGAAAGGGAGTATAACACAAAAAGTTTAGCTACCGTTTCCTCTTTACTCTTTCCTCTTTACTCTTTCCTTTTTAATTTGTTCCATAAGGTATGATATCTTTCTATATTTAAAAATAATTTAATTTTAAAATTCTCATTTTACACTTAATGAAATAAACAAAAATGTCTATGACTTATTTTAGATAACAAGTTCAAACAAAATAGTTCTTTTTAAAATTCGTGTCCATTCAAAGGCACTCACATAAGTATATACTAACAATATACTTATTTTACATACTAGATGAGTGGTGCCCGTGCATGCCCGACATATTGTCTGTTTTATTCGCACAAGCTAAAAGGTTACAAAAGCCAAGCAAAAACATATTTTCAACCAACATGTTAAAGTTTCATACTATATACGATGAGCAAAGCTCTACAACATATAAGTGAAAAAAGATCACAACCATAGTGCTTGGATAAAATTACAATCAAGTCCAACAAATTATTGACTTTGATTATCCAACATCTACTGCAACACTATAATATACTTTTATGACTGTAAAATCTATTCGCAGTCACCATTTACAAGTGTCCATCACTCAGTCCACCACTTCCCTCCACAAAATACATATACAAAAGCATATTCATCCATATGTAATATTAAGAATAGCCAACTATACGTATGTCCATGCTTGAGGGAAAACTAACATACATTAGAACTACAATAAATAGATGTTAAGTGGGAAAGCCCTTCAACGCGTTAAATCTGGATAGTCACCGAAGAAGTAATGGATTTTGGAGAAAAATTATCCTTGGATAATCCGATTACATTTCACAAGTTAAAGATCTGGAGGGCACTGCATTCAAAAGAGTAATAGGAATAAAAATGAATCAATTACAGGTGCATAGAGAATAATTTGTAAAATGAAAAATGAATTATGAACCAAGAAAGGATTATGCGCATAAACTTTAGTACCAGATCTACAACCTACATTATTAAAGTGAGAGCAATTGAATTATCATCTACTTTTTAAAGGATTGAATCAATATAGCGTGGAAGTACACAAAACCACCAAATAAAACTGGAAAAATGAAGGGGGAAAAAGTGAAGGGAAGGAAAAGGAAAGCCAGCCACAAATAATCTATAAGGCAACAGAAAGAATTTAAAGCATTCCAATTGAACATTTATTCAGAAGGCTAAATATACTACCCCTTGAACATTAATAGAAATAAATTCCCAAAGATACACTTTAGCCTGTGCATTTTCAATAGTGAAAAGAACAATGATCTATCTACTGATAATACAATGATTCAGGGAGTCAGAGCTAATATACACTGCACACACATGCGCTCATTTATAAGAAGATTTTCAAATTCACACAGGATTATGACATCCAAAATTCTACATAAGTATGGAAGTTCCACGAAAGAACAAAAGGGTTACCTTTTCAAAAAAAAAAAAGAAAGAAGAAAAGGGTTAACTTTTACAGAGACTCCATTAACAAAGGTCATCAACAGAAAGAGTCATAACCTCACTGCTCCAAGCAAAGCAAAAGAAATGTGGCTTACAAGCACATCTTATAGGCTTACTATACTGTTAACCAAATAAATTTTAAACGTGGCAGGAAAAACTCCAAGACATACAGTTACACAGATTATTTGAGGAGAAAAAACTACAACACACATAACAAGAAGTCACATACTTGTAGAAATAGCCAGCCTAAATCCTAAATCCTAAATTAGTAGAGTGACAAAGGAGATTATATGCAAAAACCTTCCTTTTTTCCCAACCCATTACGCAGAATACATTGGCCAATTACTACTACACTTAGAAAAATATGTATTGCGAAAATCAAGCAGAAAATCATGGACCTCGAAGAGTTTTCTCGTCAGTCAGAAAAAAGAATTCAATTTCCAAGCTGCAGCATAGGAGAGGGCAACTCCAGCAACTAAAAGAATCAATGATCCCTACTTCATGAATAACATACTGATTTAGAAACCACATGATAGGTAAAGATGAACCAGATAGAATAGGTTACCATCTCATAATCAGCATAGTCAAATATTTTGCATGATTTTTGTGTTATCATTCAGGATCGTTGTATCTCCTTGAGAAATCTGAGCACTCCTTCCTCTCATTTAAAGATCTTTACTTGTAAATAGACCATATTAATGGACAGAGTAGAATAAATTTTTGGACACAAATGTTGGACAGAGTAGAATGAATTTTTCAAATATTTTAGTAGGTGAGATTTGATATCTTTGGATTTGCAATTGACGATAGAATAGGGTGCAACTATCTTATTTTACAAAGGATGTGCAAGTATTTAGTTAACCAATAAGCTTCTGTGATGAAGACATTACTACATTAAGTTCTTGAGTTGCAGGACGATGCCTCTCACGTACTATATTTTAAGTTTCAGCATCCAAAATTATCTATAAAGAGGAATTAGAGTAATGGTAAAAGATTTAGCAATAACCTTAGAGAACATACATCTGTTGGAAGTGCTAATTCAAACTGCAAATAATTAAAAGTGCTGACTTCATTTGCAAGACCTGCATAGAACGCCTAATGCGACCACATGTATCGAAAAGTCAAGCTTACCTGCTTCTTGAGTGACTATTATATTCTATTTTTTATAAAGATGAGTATTGTATTTTATATAGCAGAACATTTGTAGTGCAAAAATCTTGCTGCAAATATTTATTTATCTTATAATGAGATCTTCAAGCAAAGGTAATTATAGCAAGTATAATAGTTGTCTATCTAATCAGATCATCACATCTATTAAATACCTGAAAAATAAAAATGGCATATCATAATACTGACAACTTAGAAACTGGTTGAAACAGAAAGAAAAAAGGACTAATTTTTTACCAGGTGAAAGCTAGCCAACTCACTTATCGTAGTTGTGCCACCATTTTACATTAAAAAATTTCACACTTATGAAATTGTATTTACAGCTTAAAATCATTGTCTTTCTTGAATCCTTTAGAATCCAACTGCTATGGTATCAACACACGTAAGAATAAACTTCATCATATTTTTGGACCTTTTATAGACAACACTATCTGATCGTTTAGAAAATTCATACTTCCTTTTTTTGTTTTTGGAGAAGGTAAGATAAATTAAACCTACATAATTTTTTATGAGGGTTGTAAGAAAACAGTTTGTCGAAGACTAATAATTTAGTAATATCTTTCAATCACTCTCACAATCTCTTCTTATTAGCTAATGTACAGTAAAATGCGACTATCAAGGCCTAAAGCTGTCTACTTGATTCACTCTTATCGCATAGTCGTAGAAAGATCATACTTCTTGATATTGCAAGGATCAATGATATTTTCTCTTTTTATTGAACTGCTAAAAATACGTCCAATAAAGAAAATAAAACGCAAACTCACCTTCAAGGACACACTAAAAGGGATCGTCCGATAGGTTGCCTAAGAGTATAAATGAAGGATATAATCATAAACATCGAAATTCCTAAATTTCAGTCAGAGACAAAAGGTTTTCCATAAATAGAACTAAATATTAACATACTTATATAATTGAGATATCTCAGTTGACTTCTGTTGGGATATATACTATTAACCATGAGTTTGGTTTAGATATAGTATTTATTATGAAAT